TGCCAAAGGGCCCTTCAGAGTAGTGAGAGAAGATCTTCACCCTGAAACCTACAGCATCCCTTTTCAGCAGGAAGTAGCTAAGAGAGTCCGCCGCCCCATTTTCCTTATGAATCAAGGTGAAATCTCTCTCAGGGAGGAGTGACAGGGAATGGCAAAGGATGCATGGACAAAGGAGATTAATCAGGCTTTGATGGGGACTACGGCAACATGACAATGGAAGCTGATCCTCAAGGAATGCTGCTTTATTGGAAATGTTTTTGTGAATTTATTTTGTTTTCTCATATTTGCTTTCTTATATTTGTTTGATTATATACAAGCAAGAATGAATCCTGAAGAAGAAAAATTATACTCATCTTGATGATCACAAAATTATGATTTAAACAAAAGAGGGGGAAATGAGGGAAGCCGAATATCAAATTTAATAATAGTAGACCAAATGCTGTATCAGGGAAATGAGGGAGGCTTAATATAAGCTGAAGGTCACCTTGTGACACTAGGGCATTCCCTAGGAGTCAACATTGTTCTTAGTTTTTATCAAATGAATTCCTCCCTCTTGAGATTAACATAAAGAGGAACTTGGCCTTATCTGTAAAAGATTTCACCATTATCCTTTGTTTTGTACTTCCATGTTTTTCTATATAAAGACTCAGAGAAGCATGGCTCGGGACCTTCAGTCATGGGAACTGCTGGCCCCCTGTTTTTCACACTCTCTGTTCTATATCATTCCTGGCTGTTTGTCTCTTTATTATAAATTTATTCTATTCTTTGGGACCCTTAGTCTGCAACAAAGAATGACGCAAGATGTCACCTAATCCGTTTGAGAACATCCATGATCCAGAGGTCAGAACACAACACACGAGTAATTCCATCAGATCAGGAAATGAAGGCCAAGGAAATGACACAGAGTGTCAATGCCTAGCCAAGCTGACGCTCGTTTGGCAGGCCAGGGAGACGTGATTCAATCTCTAGCCTGTAACACTGCTGGAATCTCACGGTGCACATCCTGACTGTTAGAACACAGAGGAGCAGGGAAGCACTCACCCATTCCTGCTGCTATGACTGGCACAGGCAGATCGTAGTTGTACAAAATAAAAGACAACATCAGAAAGTCAATGTAGCTGCGGTGACTCGGCAGCAGAACCACCGGGTGCTCCTGGATGGCACGCTGGAGCTTTCAAAGGAAGGTCAAGTTTGAAAAGTTTTAGTCACATTATTAAATCCAGTTCTCCAGGCAGAGAACGGAAGATATGTGTATAAAATACCTACACATCTATAATTACTATATACTTCTCTACATGTACAAAACACACACACACACACACACACACACACACACACACACACACACACACACACACACACACACACACACACACACACACACACACACACACACACACACACATTCTACCTCTACTAATATACTCATAAAACAATTCACATGGAGAAGGTAAAATGACTTTCCATTTCCAATCAACCATGGCACACAATGAACAGGCAGCAGAACTGTGAACTTCTGACCAGTACTGGCTGAAGGGCTCAATTCCCCAAGTTAACAACAGTGGCTTGCAGGGAGCCATCAGCAGTCTCACACCTCTCCCCATGAGGTCATCTGTGACCAGCCCCGTCTGAGAAATGTAAACCTTTATGGGACAGAACAATGATGACTTTCACTAATACCTAACAGGTGGGCATCCTGATATGGCTTTTTGTATGTACTTTGTTACACTGAACATTTATAATTTTAACAGCCCTAAGGATTAGCTCTTGTACATAAAGTGACATGCATGTGACAGATGGCAGAGCTGGGAAAAGACTAGCAGTCAGTGATTGGCTTCAAGAGTCACCAGTAAACAGCAGTGTGGGCTGGCTTTGGGCAGGAAGGGAGAACAAACCTTCCAGGGAGATTTCAATCAAGAGACCTCAAGCAACAACACAGACTCCCAGCTGCTGCTGCCTGGTCTGAACTTGGCCGAGCCGCATGTGTCAGTCAGAGCACAGCTGTGTGCCTCCAGGACTGCCAACAGCCAAATTTTTAGAAGCACATCAGCAGCCCTTTCTTCCTAGGCTCTCGGGTGAACCTGAAATGTCGAAGCTTTCAGTGAGGAGCCAAGCATGTTTTCATCATCTGTTGTTGTTGTTATGTGCCACTGAGTCACTTGTGACTCATAGGGACCCTATGTACAACAGCTCTAAACTCTGCTCTGTCCTGTGCCAAATGCACCGTCTCTGACACACCCATCCCAATTACCCCAACCACTGAATCAACTAGGAATTCCTAATTCATAAAAACATACAATCTATAAATTATGAGAACCATGGTAATTCCTTATTTAAATGTCAAATTCATTGCCATGGGGGGATGGAGCCAAGAGGCTGGAGGAGTAACTAAAAGAAATAGTGGAGGAAAAAGAAATACCTTCAAATAAATGACTGGATAAAAACAAAGTATTAAAAAAGAAAGTAAAATGCTTCTTAGCGGGAAGGAGGGGAAAGTCTTTTAAAAAACCACAAATGAATAAAAACACAAGGCCAAGTTCTTCCTACTGGTAAAGAACATAAAGCAGTGAATTGTAACTGGAGGAGACGGCCAGTCTTTCTCTCACAGAGTCACTGGTGACTTTGAACTGGGGTTAGCACTGCAACCCACAACGGCCACGTCCTCAGAGCCTCCCAGTAAAGCAGCAGGAGTGACGTCGTTAGAAAAACCACCACTTGACACTTCATTAAGTGATAACTGGCTCAAGCAAGCAATTTTACCTAGAAAATTAGCAGCTAAAAGTCCAAGAAGACACAAAAGACACAGTCTCACAGCATCTCCCCAGAAAGGGCTGGCTAATGACAGAGTGAACAACAGTGGCTTCAAGGTAGAGAACCTCCCCCATGAAAATACTTAGAAAAACTCTGACCAAATGGAAATCAAGGAATACTCCAAAGTACTGGTCTGTTCTTGAGGAAACACACAAAAGTAGGATGAAGGAACTGTCCCAGATCTGTAGGAGCTGTCCTGCTAACCCAGAGGAGGAACCTCTGTGGCGATTCAAATCCACAGGTGGCTGCCAGGTCCAGCAGACACGCTCCGCTCCAGGCTCTTCTCTGTGGATGCTGCTGACATATCTCTGTTCTCTGCTCCCTTGTCTGATCCCTTTCTTATCTCAAGAATGACTCAAGGTGTCACCTAAGCCTATCATGAACATCCTGCCTCACAACTACCAGTATACATCAGACTCCTGAGATGTGGCTACAGTCATCACTGTAGGGCATCACATTCCTGCACGCCAGGAATGACCGGGGTCTCTCAGTCAGTCCCAAGTTGTAGGACCAGGAGCAAATGGGAAAACCCTTCAGAGAGGCAGAGTCTCTTCTGTCCAAATCGAATGCCTAATGATTAGTGCCAAACAGAGATTTCATCAAATCACAAGGAGTTTAAAAGAGAACTGGGTGCAGGAGGGAAAATCAATACTCACTTTCTGAATACCTTCTTCATTTACACACACCTTCGAGAAAATTTGTTTAAATATTTTGCTCAGGGTGAAGGCAAAAAATCTAATAACTCCTAGGCGTAGTTTATGACTCATTTCATCCAAGATTTTACAAGCTTCTTCTTTGAGGACATCGATGGATTGTTTAGATTCCTTGGAAAGCTAAAAGAAAATGGAAAGCAAGACTAAACTTTGGCGGTGATGGGTGGGGAAGATGCTAGAATTGTTTTGGTTTTAGGTAAAACCTGTATGACTAGTTCTACATGGATCAATATTTTAAGTCAGAGAGGGTGTGCTTTCTCTCCTCAGTTTATAAAGAGGCAGACCCACAATGAGATGGACTGGCCAGTGGCTGCATCAATGGTGTCAGGCTCAGCAGTGATGGTAGGAGGCCAAGGCCCAGTTGTACTCTAAGGGAATTCTGTTTAGAGGAAATACAGACCAGACTCCTGAGATGTGCCTACAGTCATCACTGTAGGGCATCAAATTCTTGCAAGCCTTGCTGTGTGTCTATCAGGGGATGGTGAGCTGGGACCAGCAACATGTCACCTAGCAATTTATGTTCCAACATATTGACGTAGACTGATGGGCTTACTTACACAAGCTCAAAGACTAGAAATCCAAAGAGAGTGGATTTTTTAGGATAGCATTTTAGATGAAGAAGGCAATTCACCTTGCCGCTAGATTTTAGTAAAAAGTTTACATCTAAGTTCTTCTAAAATGAATTAGTGTCCATAACCATATAGTTGAGAGTACACATTTATATTCATGATTATATATCCTAGAGTATACATTTAGTATCCATCATCTAGTATCCTGGAGTACACATTTAATACCCTAATCTGGTATCCTAGAGCACACGTCTAGTACCTATGATCAAATATCCCAGAATATACATTTAGTATCCATGATCAAACATGTCTTGGATAAAGTGCAGTCAGATTGCTCCTTGGAGGCAAAGATGATAAATCTTTGCCTCACATACTTCGGGCATGCTGCTAGGAGGGGCTATTCCTTGGAGAGAGGCATCATCTTTGGAAAAGCAGAGGAGTCAGCAAAGGAGAGGAAGACCCTCAACCAGGTGGAATGACATAGTGAGTGCTGCAACAGTCTCTACTGTGTCAAGAAAAATGAGGATGGCACAGGATACGACAGGGGTTACTATTGATCTTACTCAACTTGATGGCATCTAACAACAACAATAACCCATAATCAAGCATCCTGGAGTAAAAATCTAGTCCTTGTGACCAAATTTCTAGGAGTATACATCTGGTACCTAGGATCCTTAGGGAGCTCTGGTGGCCTAGTGGCGAGAAGCTGTGCTACAATCCTGAAGGCATGTCATTCGAATCCACCAGACACTCTGTGGAAGAAGGATGGGCAATCTCCTCCTGTGCAATAAACTGCCTCTGAAAACCTGTCAGAGGATCAGCTATGGGTCGTTTCTGACTGGACAGTATACAACACCACCTATGATCAAGTATCCTTGGAATACACATTTAGCATCCAAAACCAAGAGTTCCTAGAGGTTGCATTTAGTGGTCTCTCTTAGCAGAGGACGGAGCTCTGGTGGCCTACCTAGTAGATTACTGCAGCACTCCCTCCACTTACTTAATGCTATTACCAGGTAATACACAAGATAAAACAAAACAAAGATTCTTTTCAAACAACCAGTTTACACTTTATCAGATATACAAGTCAGTGGGATAAAAATCTCAAAATTATCAAGGGATAATTAGTAAAATCAATGATCTCAATTCATAAAACTTTGTTTTAAGACACATAGTTAACTATATCTTTTTAAAAAGAAAATAAAAATGTTTACTGCGTATTAGGAAAAATGACATCTCTGAACTCAGAAAACCTGAGGGGACTGTTTGACCTTCCCCTAAATAAATACTCTGAACACTATTTCAGTCTGTTAAGTGATAGATAACACTTTTGCTCCCCAAAGGAGAACGCTTTTCTTTAGCATGTGGCATCCCCAATGACACATGAAGAAATGTGAGGTTTCTTCTATGGAGCTGACTTTCACCTAACAAAGCAGCTAATTTTAGAAACTTCCTCTGCCATGTGTGGCCATTGCTGCCTAGTTCTACATTTTTTTGAGGGCTCAGTAGTGGAGCCAGAATAAGTCATTTCCTCCCAAGAGTATGCCTTTATCTTAACTAACAGGCTATCTGAAATAGTGACCTTATCTAAGTAAAGAGAACATACTTGAATAACAGGAAGCAGGGAGATAAAGACAGCAGAAATAGAATAGTGGACATGTTTGAATGAGAAAAAAAAGAACAGCAAGGTAGAATTAAAATGCTTTTCTAAGACAGAAAAGCCTTGGACCCATTTATAGAATAATAGCAAGAGGTCAGCTGCAAATAAAAGGCGAAAGACCGCTCTTATTTCTCCTGTGGAGTCAGAGCGGGCTTTGAAGAGAAGAGCGATGCCACGTGTGGGTTAGCAGCACCCAGACCAAACGCACAGCCGGTGAATCAGGTCCAACCCAGAGCAACATCATGGGACAGAGTCAAACAGACACTACCCGGTAGAGTCCAATGCTGTAAATCCGCACTGATGTAGCCTATGCCAGCTTTCTCGTGCAATACTGGGTGCTCTACCGCTGTCCTTCTAGTGAGAAGTTGGAAATGACAGCTATACAGGTGAGGTGAGACTGGACAGGGAGACCTGACAGGGACAAGAAATGATTTGTTTCTGGATCTGTCTCAGAAACAGACTTGGGGACAGGTGAGAGGAAGGGCCTAGTAAATGTTGAAGGCAGCCTGGAGGTTTTGCAAAGTCTGGGAAAAGGGGATGGGAGGAAGCGGAACTAGGGGAGAGGCTCAGATCAGATGGGACCAGGTGTTTGGACGGGGCTGGTCCATGTGTTCTGTCATTGCTCTCCCCATGGGGAGATGGCAGCAGCAACCAGCTGATGACATGAGCAGAGCGGGGACAGGCTGAGATCCAAGTTGGCTTCTTGGGATTTAGGAAACAAGGCAAGGAAAGAGTGTAAGTCAAGAACTACTGCTACAGTCAGGTCAGAGATAGCAAGGCCCAAACAAGGGCTGTAATAGGTGCTAAAGAGAAGGGAGACAGCAGGCTGATGTGACATTTTCTGTTCCAGGCAAGGGCACAGATGGTGGGACCATCCCATGAACCAGGGATCCAGAGCAGGGACAGAGACAGGGAGGGGCAGGGGTGAAGCCTGCAGGCGTCCTAACAGAGGGCAAGCATCAAGGCCAGTATTAGGTTTTCATGCTTAGTAATGCAAATCATTGTGTCCTTCACATTCCTTAAACACAAGCAGAAAGAGCTAGGAAACCATCATGTTACAGGGCACAGGAAAGACAATGATGTAACCAGTGGTGATGACAACAAAACAGAAGAAGGTGTGGTCAAACCCAGTTTCTTCAGTGAAGAATGTGCCAACTCAACCTTGTTGCTGCCAGGTGTCACTGAGTTGACTGTGGCTCACAGCAAATCCGTGGACAGTCTTGCCTATCCTGGGCCATCCCCACCATCTCCAACACGCTCAAGCCCACAGTTGCAGTCACTGTTAGCATGTTGCTGAAAGCAGTATTTGTGGTAACTAAGAGGTAAAAATATTATTCATGGTAACTAAGAAAAAAACAATTAAGTTTTGGTCAAACTTTCTTCTAGGTGGTAAAGCACTGGTCTGTCCATTTGCTGTACAGAGGTAATTCATGGTTGCTGTAATGCTGAACTCTGTGACACTGATGTGTAAAATGCAATAATGATTACCCATGGTGGACAGTGATTGGTGGAGCTTCCCAATTAAAACAAGCTTGGAAGTAGAAGTGGCATTCACTTCTTAAACAGCTTGCCTCCAGAAACTCTATGAACTTGGAGAAACAAAGTTATACAAGTGTTCAGGTACTTCATTCATGGGGTTGCTATGAGTTGTCTACAACTCAATGGCACTTAACAACAACAACAACTAAGAAAATACATAAAAAGGGAAAGGAACCGAAATGGTTCATTAGAAAACACAGTAAAACACACCAAAAAAATCAAGCATAGTGAAGGATCAAGGCAAAGAAAGCTCAATGCAAGAACAAAGGACACAGCAGGCATTTCACAGCAGTGCCATCCAGAGTGAAGACAAACAGACTGAAGGTTCCATTCAAGTGGCAAAAAGTGACAGACTGCACAAAAAACCCACAAACCAGTTGTACTATATTGTGTATGGAATCGTTGTTTACAACACTCCTTAGACTCAAGGATGCAAACAGGTTCAAAGTAAAGAGACAGGAAAAATATTTGGAAATAATAAAAGAAAAGCTGGGGTAGTGATCAGACAAAAAAAAAATCCAATTTTAAGATAAAAATCTCTTAGAAGAGATAAAGACATTATGAAGCATGAAAAGAATGGGGCCAGCACGTCTGGCCTCTGTTGACTCCACCAATGGAAACCACATCATCAGCAACATCCACAGCACCAAACCAAAACCTGTAGGGACAGACATGCCTCCACACTCCTGCATCAACTTCCACAAATTTCAGTGTCAATTGCCCACTGTTCTCCTTCAGGGTTAGAAATCTGCTAAAGTGGAACCATATTCATGGTTATGGGGCTAGGGAAGTTAACAAGCTACATTTCAGGTTGGCAACAGGATCGAGTTCCTCAGGGAGGACGGCTTCTCCACCATGCTCACTGGCCCTCGGACCTTCAGCCTTACAACTAGGGTCAGTGTTACAAAGTTCCCTTAGTCCTACCAATTGTGAAGTCTCCCCCTCAGTCCCCAAGCAAACTTAAATGAGGCCCCTGGCTGTCTCCATGGGGCAGTAGTCCTGGTCAGCTGTGTCTCACATGGGTCTCTGGTTGTCTGCTGATGCTGCTCTTGTATAGCTCCTGGTTTGACAGCTGTTGGAATATCTGGCCCCGAAGGATGCATGCTATATCTTCTGCTGCTTCTTTAGTGAGATTTCTCACTTCTGATGTCAAACTTACTCAATTTAAACTTCGTAGGATGGAGGGCAAAGGATCAATTCCATACCATACACACCCTATTTCAGGTTTCCAACTAGCCACATGGTGGAAGTCAAAGCCAATGGCTAGGAAAGCTATTCTGAACAATAAACATACAATAATCATACGTATACATGTGCCCAACTTGTGAGCAGCTAATATATAAAGCAAGCACTGACAGCACTGAAGGGAGACATAGACAACCAGTGGCTTTGTGTTAGGTGTTGTGGAAACGGTTCTGACTTACAGTGACGCTACACACAACAGAACAATGACCTGTCCAGTCCGGCATCCTCCTCACAACCTCTCTGTGCTCAAGTTCACCATCATGGACTGAATCAGTTATTTTGATAGACTGGAAAAGAAATATTAAATGATCTCTATTCAAAGATGGCACAATACTATATACAGAAAATGTTAAGAGCCCACATGAAAGTGCCTAAAGGTAATAAAGTACTTCATAAAAGTGTAAATTACAAAGCCAACAAAGAGAATTCATCATAGGACATTCCAGCACTAAGAAACCTGAAGGTAACAGAATTGCTTCGTTTCTGTTTCACCCCAAGGCAAAGAGGCTAACACATTTTGGTACAATATATATTTGAAGAACGTGCTGCATATATTCCGTTTTAGAAGGCACACTGCAGCTAAGAAAAGGAGCTCTGGTGGTACCCTCTGTGCACGCTGTACATGAACCAAAAGCCCAGGGTCTCTACCAGCAGTTCTAAGGAAGAGGGATGGGCAATCTCCTTCCTCTACAACCCACAGCTTCGGAAACCCTCTGGAGTAGGGCTGCTATGAGTCAGGAACAACTGGATGGCAGTGAGTTGAGTGAGAAAAATAAGGAAAGATAAAGCAAATTGATAGGGTGAGAAGAACTTGCTGACAGTGAGAAGATCTGAGTATATAGAGAAGCACATACCTCTCTGATGATGTAATGAATCTCTTCAGAATTGAGAACACTATATTTAATATCACTTGGCTTGCAAGGAGTGAGTCCCTTGTAGACAAGAGGTGTGTAGCATTTCATTGCAAACTTCAAGTCACTGACATGTCTCCTCTCCTCTAAAATATCTTCAAAATCATCCCACTTTTTGAGTTCCTTCTGTGGATGAAGCAAATGAGGGAAAGCAGTAAGTATACAATGGAGGATAAATCAGAGCACATTAGAGGTCTACTGGCAAGACTTCAGCATTGCAGAAACTTTTATTCTGGAATATATGACCAAGAGCTATGTTTTAGTAGCAGACATTCACATACAAAGCAAAATGGAATAATAAGTACATAAAACTAATTATTAGTACATAAAACTAATAATGGATTACCAAAATATTATTACCATGATTCCGATTGCTTTCATTGTAAGCCTTGTACTCTTCTGAGAAAGTTCAAGATCACAAAGCTGAGGCATGAAGCTCTTAAGAATCCAGATCAAGTTTGTAAGGGGTTGCTTACCACATGGGAAAACTGGTCTGTCTCTTCAACTCAGCTTTAAAAATAAAGCCACAGCATATACTGTTGTTGTTGTTATGTGCCGTCGAGTCGCTTGCGACTCATAGCGGCCCTATGTACAACAGCCCTAAACTCCGCTCTGTCCTGTGCCAATCG